CAGCTGACTAACACCCAGGTACCTATTTTACTGCTAGGTAACAGGGGCATAGGGTGAAAGAAACTCTGCCCATTGTTTCTCGCTGGCGCCTGGGATCGAACCCAGGACCACAGGATCACAAGTCCAGCGTGCTGTCCGCTCGGCCGACCGGCGACCGTATGATGGGATCATACGTGGCTCATCTTAGGGGAACAGGTTAAGAATTACTACTCTAGAGTCTATAGACTCTAGATCAACGAATGTCCTTCGCTAGGACGCAACCCACAACAGTTGTGTAACTCCCAAATACCTTTTTACTGCAAGATTAACAGAGGCATCAGGTGAACGAAAACGTGCCCTGCTCAGGAATCAAACTAACCTCCTTTCTGTTGTGAGCCAATTCCGTTAATTAGTGCACTATTCGACCCCGTGAATAAATTTTCAATTGAGAAGTTCTGTACACAAACAATCGCTGTGCCAGGGAAGGATGGGGGGAGGACTTAGTATTGACCCGCCAAACACACACCGAAACTACGACGTTGGTACAACGTTCGAACAAGTTTTAACACCTCCTAACCAGTTATAACAACCAATATAGCAAGTTGTAACAACGTTCTAATGCGTCATAAGCACGTTAAGCCAAGATATAACAACTTTATTACGAGTTGTAACAAGCGGAAAATAGAGACAGTTTCGGTTTGTGTTTCCAAGGGATGAGGCATGAGAAATAATTAAGTTTTCAACTGCTGGTGGAACAGAGTTATGAGGTGAAGTAAAGTCTGTATACTTGAGTGACGGTACTCTCTGCATGGCTGCTGTCAGACCACCCAAACAACCCGATCTCATTGTCTAACGTGTCAAAAAATTGAATTTTTGTTTAGTGTCCCCCTGAAATTTAATAATAAATTTCACAGAAAACAGGATTAAAATGCACTTTACATAAAGGCCATTTGAAGAAATTACAATATATTTCACATTTACCTGTATAAACCATGTATGCCCTCCTCGCCCCACAGTTTTCTGGGCCTTTTTCTATCCAAACAATAGTATGACATTTTTTTCCATTTGAATTGTTACAGTTTTCACAAAAGTTGGAATGCATTTTTGTCATCATATTTTTTGCAGGGGGTCGAACTGATCCCCGATTACCGTAAAATTTGATTTACTAAAAATATTCCCTGTTTGGACACGATACAAATAACAACAGAATCCCGATGGGAGGAGCGTCTGTTTGGGGGCGTTCCGTGGGGAGGAACGTCTGTTTGGGGGCGTTCCGTGGGGAGGAACGTCTGTTTGGGGGCGTTCCGTGGGGAGGAACGTCTGTTTGGGGGCGTTCCGTGGGGAGGAGCGTCTGTTTGGGGGCGTTCCGTGGGGAGGAACGTCTGTTTGGGGCCGTTCCGTGGGGAGGAACGTCTGTTTGGGGGCGTTCCGTGGGGAGGAACGTCTGTTTGGGGGCGTTCCGTGGGGAGGAGCGTCTGTTTGGGGGCGTTCCGTGGGGAGGAACGTCTGTTTGGGGGCGTTCCGCGGGGAGGAACGTCTGTTTGGGGGCGTTCCGTGGGGATGAACCTCTGTTTGGGGGCGTACCGTGGGGGAGGAACGTCTGTTTGGGGGCGTTCCGTGGGGGAGGAACGTCTGTTTGGGGGCGTTCCGTGGGGAGGAACGTCTGTTTGGGGGCGTTCCGTGGGGAGGAACGTCTGTTTGGGGGCGTTCCGTGGGGAGGAACGTCTGTTTGGGGGCGTTCCGTGGGGAGGAACGTCTGTTTGGGGGCGTTCCGTGGGAAGGAACGTCTGTTTTGGGGGGGGGCGTTCCCTGGGGAGGAACGTCTGTTTGGGGGCGTTTCATGGGAAAGAACGCCTGGTGGAGACGTTCTGTGTTAAAGAACGCCTGGTGGAGGCGTTCTGTGGGAAAGAACGCCTGGTGGAGGCGTTCTGTGGGAAAGAACGCCTGGTGGAGGCGTTCTGTGGGAAAGAACGCCTGGTGGAGGCGTTCTGTGGGAAAGAACGCCTGGTGGAGGCGTTCTGTGGGAAAGAACGCCTGGTGGAGCCGTTCTGTGGCAAAGAACGCCTGGTGGAGACGTTCTGTGGGAAAGAACGCCTGGTGGAGACGTTCTGTGGCAAAGAACGCCTGGTGGAGACGTTCTGTGGCAAAGAACGCCTGGTGGAGGCGTTCTGTGGGAAAGAACGCCTGGTGGAGGCGTTCTGTGGGAAAGAACGCCTGGTGGAGACGTTCTGTGGGAAACCCCACATGCGTGGAGTCGTTTAGATGTTCTCAGCGAGGTTATGCAATTATTGGTTCGTTCATTATCACGCCAAATGAGTTCAGATGTATAATTAATTGGGACGTCCAGCGCGGAAACCTGGATACAAAAATTCCTCTTGCCGGAGGAAATTGGCCATTAAGGGGAAGTGATGCGTTCCTTGGCCCCTCCCCCTACAACTGAGCGCCTTCCCTCGGGTCCCTAGCTCCTCCACCCCTTTCCCTGGGGTCCCTAGCTCCCCCACCCCCCTCCTTAGGGTCCCTTTTTCCCTCACCCCCCTCCCTGGGGTCCCTAGCTCCCCCTCCCCCCTCCCAGGGGTCCATAGCTCCCCCACCCCCCTCTCCCTGGGGCCCCTAGCTGCCCCACTCCCCTTTCCCTGGGGTCCCTAGCTCCCCCACCCCCCTCTCCCTGGGGTCCCTAGCTGCCCCACTCCCCCCTCCCTGGGGTCCGTAGCTCCCCCACCCCCCCTCCCTGGGGTACCTAGCTCCCCCACCCCCCCCTTCCCTCGGGGGAGCCTTCCTCCTCCAAACCTCCCCAGAGTCCCTCCCACCACCACTACATGCTTTAAAGAACACTTAACATGCAACAAATGCAAGCAGTGCAAAACAAATGCACTATGAAGAACAGGAAAACAGCGGCCGCCTCAATATCAATCGAGGAGCGCTACAACTCCTGAACACCACCACAAAGCACCAAGCTAGAACACCAAGCCACCAGGGGGGTGGAACACTATCGTAATGTTATAAGACTCAATGCATGAATCATTACTGCAAGATGAGACGCGCCAACCATAACATCTGGTGGCCCAGAGAGCTTAGATCATCACTATGGAAACCAAGACCTACAATACATGATTCTGAGATGAGATAGAGACCAGACCTTTCCCCCCCGCCACCTCCCGCATTATGTGGACCAATGAGAAGGCAGCACGTGGACCAATGAGAAGGCAGCACGCGGACCAATGAGAAGGCAGCACGTGGACCAATGAGAAGGCAGCACGTGGACCAATGAGAAGGCAGCACGCGGACCAATGAGAAGGCAGCACGCGGACCAATGAGAAGGCAGCACGTGGACCAATGAGAAGGCAGCACGTGGACCAATGAGACGGCAGCACGTGGACCAATGAGAAGGCAGCACGTGGACCAATGAGACGGCAGCACGTGGACCAATGAGAAGGCAGCATCGTGGACCAATGAGAAGGCATAACGTGGACCAATGAGAAGGCAGCACGCGGACTAACGAGAAGGCAGCACGCGGACCAATGAGAAGGCAGCACGTGGATCAATGAGAAGGCAGCACGCGGACTAACGAGAAGGCAGCACGCGGACCAATGAGAAGGCAGCACGTGGATCAATGAGAAGGCAGCACGTGGACCAATGAGAAGGCAGCACGTGGACCAATGAGAAGGCAGCACGTGGACCAATGAGAAGGCAGCACGTGGACCAATGAGAAGGCAGCAAATGGACCAATCATGCGAGGGAGTGCAGACGAGGCTGGTGTGTGGCGTGGAAGAGAGTGAAGCTCATCAGGTGCCAACTAGATCATCCCTCCATCTCATTACAGTCTCTAACATCCCACACAGGGGAGAGGACGGGATTAGTAGAGGGACAATAGACATCAGAAATTGGATAGAAGAGGGGGAACTAAAGGAAATGAAAATGTATGAAAGGATGCAAGGGGATAGGCAGAATAAGGGGGAGGGACGTCTAAGGGATAATGGGGAGATTGAAAGGGCAAGATCCTATATTTTATGTTGTTAATAGCTGATCTTGGTGGGATTATCCACAGGTTGTTCACGTGAATTGTCCCACATGTTGACCAAGCTGATATTGTCCCACATGTTGACCAAGCTGGTATTGTCCCACATGTTGACCAAGCTGGTATTGTCCACATGTTGACCAAGCTGGTATTGTCCCACATGTTGACCAAGCTGGTATTGTCCACATGTTGACCAAGCTGGTATTGTCCCACATGTTGACCAAGCTGGTATTGTCCACATGTTGACCAAGCTGGTATTGTCCACATGTTGACCAAGCTGGTATTGTCCCACATGTTGACCAAGCTGGTATTGTCCCACATGTTGACCAAGCTGGTATTGTCCACATGTTGACCAAGCTGATATTGTCCCACATGTTGACCAAGCTGGTATTGTCCACATGTTGACCAAGCTGGTATTGTCCCACACATTGACCAAGCTGGTATTGTCTCACATGTTGACCAAGCTGATATTGTCCCACATGTTGACCAAGCTGGTATTGTCCACATGTTGACCAAGCTGGTATTGTCCCACACATTGACCAAGCTGGTATTGTCCCACACATTGACCAAGCTGGTATTGTCCACATGTTGACCAAGCTGGTATTGTCCCACACATTGACCAAGCTGGTATTGTCCCACACATTGACCAAGCTGGTATTGTCCACATGTTGACCAAGCTGGTATTGTCCACATGTTGACCAAGCTGGTATTGTCCACATGTTGACCAAGCTGGTATTGTCCACATGTTGACCAAGCTGGTATTGTCCACATGTTGACCAAGCTGGTATTGTCCACATGTTGACCAAGCTGGTATTGTCCACATGTTGACCAAGCTGGTATTGTCCACATGTTGACCAAGCTGGTATTGTCCACATGTTGACCAAGCTGATATTGTCCCACATGTTGACCAAGCTGATATTGTCCACATGTTGACCAAGCTGGTATTGTCCACACATTGACCAAGCTGGTATTGTCCACATATTGACCAAGCTGATATTATCCACAGGTTGATCAAAGGAGGAGAAGAAATGCGACTGGTGAAAAGGATGAAGACTGAATATGGCGGCGGCCTGAGGGAACTGTCACACACAGAGCTGGGCATCTTCCAGGTGGGTGTCACACACAGAGCTGGGCATCTTCCAGGTGGGTGTCACACACACAGAGCAGGGCATCTGCCAGGTGGGTGTCACACACACAGAGCTGGGCATCTTCCAGGTGGGTGTCACACACACAGAGCTGGGCATCTTCCAGGTGGGTGTCACACACAGAGCAGGGCATCTTCCAGGTGGGTGTCACACACACACAGCTGGGCATCTTCCAGGTGGGTGTCACACACACACAGCTGGGCATCTTCCAGGTGGGTGCCACACACACAGCTGGGCATCTTCCAGGTGGGTGTCACACACACAGAGCAGGGCATCTTCCAGGTGGGTGTCACACACACAGAGCTGGGCATCTTCCAGGTGGGTGTCACACACACACAGCTGGGCATCTTCCAGGTGGGTGTCACACACACACAGCTGGGCATCTTCCAGGTGGGTGTCACACACACAGAGCAGGGCATCTTCCAGGTGGGTGTCACACACACACAGCTGGGCATCTTCCAGGTGGGTGTCACACACACAGAGCAGGGCATCTTCCAGGTGGGTGTCACACACACACAGCTGGGCATCTTCCAGGTGGGTGTCACACACACAGAGCTGGGCATCTTCCAGGTGGGTGTCACACACACAGCTGGGCATCTTCCAGGTGGGTGTCACACACACAGCTGGGCATCTTCCAGGTGGGTGTCACACACACAGCTGGGCATCTTCCAGGTGGGTGTCACACACACAGAGCTGGGCATCTTCCAGGTGGGTGTCACACACACAGAGCTGGGCATCTTCCAGGTGGGTGTCACACACACACAGCTGGGCATCTTCCAGGTGGGTGTCACACACACACACAGCTGGGCATCTTCCAGGTGGGTGTCACACACACACAGCTGGGCATCTTCCAGGTGGGTGTCACACACACACAGCTGGCCATCTTCCAGGTGGGTGTCACACACACACAGCTGGGCATCTTCCAGGTGGGTGTCACACACACACAGCTGGCCATCTTCCAGGTGGGTGTCACACACACAGAGCTGGGCATCTTCCAGGTGGGTGTCACACACACAGAGCTGGGCATCTTCCAGGTGGGTGTCACACACAGAGCTGGGCATCTTCCAGGTGGGTGTCACACACACACAGCTGGCCATCTTCCAGGTGGGTGTCACACACACAGAGCTGGGCATCTTCCAGGTGGGTGTCACACACACAGAGCTGGGCATCTTCCAGGTGGGTGTCACACACAGAGCTGGGCATCTTCCAGGTGGGTGTCACACACACACAGCTGGCCATCTTCCAGGTGGGTGTCACACACACAGAGCTGGGCATCTTCCAGGTGGGTGTCACACACACAGAGCTGGGCATCTTCCAGGTGGGTGTCACACACAGAGCTGGGCATCTTCCAGGTGGGTGTCACACACACACAGCTGGCCATCTTCCAGGTTGGTGTCACACACACACAGCTGGGCATCTTCCAGGTGGGTGTCACACACACACAGCTGGCCATCTTCCAGGTGGGTGTCACACACACAGAGCTGGGCATCTTCCAGGTGGGTGTCACACACACACAGAGCTGGGCATCTTCCAGGTGGGTGTCACACACACACAGAGCTGGGCATCTTCCAGGTGGGTGTCACACACACAGCTGGGCATCTTCCAGGTGGGTGTCACACACACAGCTGGGCATCTTCCAGGTGGGTGTCACACACACAGCTGGGCATCTTCCAGGTGGGTGTCACACACACACAGCTGGGCATCTTCCAGGTGGGTGTCACACACACAGCTGGGCATCTTCCAGGTGGGTGTCACACACACAGCTGGGCATCTTCCAGGTGGGTGTCACACACACAGCTGGGCATCTTCCAGGTGGGTGTCACACACACACAGCTGGGCATCTTCCAGGTGGGTGTCACACACACAGCTGGCCATCTTCCAGGTGGGTGTCACACACACACAGAGCTGGGCATCTTCCAGGTGGGTGTCACACACACACAGCTGGGCATCTTCCAGGTGGGTGTCACACACACACAGCTGGGCATCTTCCAGGTGGGTGTCACACACACAGCTGGCCATCTTCCAGGTGGGTGTCACACACACACAGAGCTGGGCATCTTCCAGGTGGGTGTCACACACACAGCTGGGCATCTTCCAGGTGGGTGTCACACACACACAGCTGGGCATCTTCCAGGTGGGTGTCACACACACACAGAGCTGGGCATCTTCCAGGTTGGTGTCACACACACAGCTGGGCATCTTCCAGGTGGGTGTCTCACACACAGTCAGAAGCCACCAGTGTCTCTAAAAAACTCGAGTTTGACAGCAAGAAAATGATGCAAAAATGTTTTAATATATCCATTAATCACATTTAAATTTACGTTAAAAAAAATGAAAGATAATTAATAAAACGACGAATTCGTTGATTTTACTGTGAGAGAACTGTCTAATTTTTTTTAAGCGCATTTCCAGAATTATTATCGTCAATTTATTTTTAAAAAGCTAATCTCACGGTACGAAGCCTAGCAGAATATTTTAACGTGATTTTGTTTAAACTACTGAAAATGTTTAATCCATATTTGTTTGTGTTTGTTGAGAGATTAGCTGGATATTACTCCCAGATGTATGATGGTGTGAGAGAGAGAGAGAGAGAGAGAGAGAGAGAGAGAGAGAGAGAGAGAGAGAGAGAGAGAGAGAGTTTTTGAATGTATAATCCTGAATGTTATTCATGCAGTGTTGCATCATATACCAGGTGTTACTTGGCACTACAGGTGTGGTGTTGTGTTGCAGGGAGTGGAGGACGGGGCGACGTTCTTCACCACGCTGGAGCGACAGAGTATCGTCCTGCACATCCTCAACTCCCTGAGGGCGACCCAGGGAGAGGCTGTGGAGGGAACCACCTTCAGGGAGGGCCAGGCCATCAGTACGTCATCCACCTCCCTCGTTTATTCTCCCTCTCTACCTCCCTCCATCTCCCTCTCTTCCTCCATCTCTCTCTCTCCTTCCTCCTCCGTCCATTCTGTAAAAAGTGCGAAATTCCTCCAAATATTAATTTCACTCCGAAAATATGAACCTAAGTTGAATTAAAAGTTTTGAAACTCATACCGATGGGAAGACAATGTTTGGTATTCTTTTAACCGCAGCTGGTGTAAACCTGCAGCTGGTATACCTGACCAGACCTGCAGCTGGTATACCTGACCAGACCTGCAGCTGGTGTACCTGGACCTGACCTGCAGCTGGTATACCTGACCAGACCTGCAGCTGGTATACCTGACCAGACCTGCAGCTGGTATACCTGACCAGACCTGCAGCTGGCGTACCTGACTAGACCTGCAGCTGGTGTACCTGGACCTGACCTGCAGCTGGTGTACCTGACCAGACCTGCAGCTGGTGTACCTGGACCAGACCTGCAGCTGGTGTACCTGGACCAGACCTGCAGCTGGTGTACCTGACCAGACCTGCAGCTGGTGTACCTGACCAGACCTGCAGCTGGTGTACCTGGACCAGACCTGCAGCTGGTATACCTGACCAGACCTGCAGCTGGTATACCTGACCAGACCTGCAGCTGGTGTACCTGGACCAGACCTGCAGCTGGTGTACCTGACCAGACCTGCAGCTGGTGTACCTGGCCAGACCTGCAGCTGGTGTACCTGACCAGACCTGCAGCTGGCGTACCTGGCCAGACCTGCAGCTGGTGTACCTGGCCAGACCTGCAGCTGGTGTACCTGGACCAGACTTGCAGCTGGTATACCTGACCAGACCTGCAGCTGGTGTACCTGGCCAGACCTGCAGCTGGCGTACCTGGCCAGACCTGCAGCTGGCGTACCTGGCCAGACCTGCAGCTGGTGTACCTGGACCAGACCTGCAGCTGGTATACCTGACCAGACCTGCAGCTGGTGTGCCTGGACCAGACCTGCAGCTGGTATACCTGGACCAGACCTGCAGCTGGTGTACCTGGACCAGACCTGCAGCTGGCGTACCTGACCAGACCTGCAGCTGGTGTACCTGGACCAGACCTGCAGCTGGTGTACCTGACCAGACCTGCAGCTGGTGTACCTGAACCTGACCTGCAGCTGGTGTACCTGACCAGACCTGCAGCTGGTGTACCTGACCAGACCTGCAGCTGGTGTACCTGGACCAGACCTGCAGCTGGTGTACCTGGACCAGACCTGCAGCTGGTGTACCTGGACCAGACCTGCAGCTGGTGTACCTGGACCAGACCTGCAGCTGGTGTACCTGGACCAGACCTGCAGCTGGTATACCTGGACCAGACCTGCAGCTGGCGTACCTGGACCAGACCTGCAGCTGGCGTACCTGACCAGACCTGCAGCTGGCGTACCTGACCAGACCTGCAGCTGGCGTACCTGACCAGACCTGCAGCTGGCGTACCTGACCAGACCTGCAGCTGGCGTACCTGACCAGACCTGCAGCTGGCGTACCTGACCAGACCTGCAGCTGGCGTACCTGACCAGACCTGCAGCTGGCGTACCTGACCAGACCTGCAGCTGGCGTACCTGGACCAGACCTGCAGCTGGCGTACCTGACCAGACCTGCAGCTGGCGTACCTGACCAGACCTGCAGCTGGCGTACCTGACCAGACCTGCAGCTGGTGTACCTGGACCAGACCTGCAGCTGGTGTACCTGGACCAGACCTGCAGCTGGTATACCTGGACCAGACCTGCAGCTGGCGTACCTGGACCAGACCTGCAGCTGGCGTACCTGGACCAGACCTGCAGCTGGCGTACCTGACCAGACCTGCAGCTGGCGTACCTGACCAGACCTGCAGCTGGCGTACCTGACCAGACCTGCAGCTGGTGTACCTGGACCAGACCTGCAGCTGGCGTACCTGGCCAGACCTGCAGCTGGTGTACCTGGACAGACCTGCAGCTGGTGTACCTGACCAGACCTGCAGCTGGTGTAAATGCTGATCAGACCTACAGCTGTAGTTGCTGATCAGACCTGCAGCTGGTGTACCTGACCACACCTGCAGCTGGTGTACCTGACCATAGTAATCAAAAGAATACAAATCTAAACCATCACGTGATGGCAAAAAACGCTGCTCTTTCTGAGTTGGATTTTGAAATGTAGACATTTCAGTAAATAATGTGTAAGTCCTTCCCCGTGTACAGGACACCGATGAGTGACCACAACATGTTCTAAGACTTTTTCTTCCTCTTCCAGTTCCCAAATTCCAATCCGATGGTATAATCCACGGTATTCTTCCCCTACACCACTACAAGATGCTGGAGAACCTTAGATCCAGCTGGGTGCAGACCTTCTTCAGGTACCAGCCCATAGGTGAGTCCCCCCTCACACCAGCCCATAGGTGAGTCCTCCCTCACACCAGCCCATAGGCGAGTCTCCCCCTCACACCAGCCCATAGGCGAGTCTCCCCCTCACACCAGCCCATAGGTGAGTCCCCCCCTCACACCAGGCCATAGGCGAGTCTCCCCCTCACACCAGGCCATAGGTGAGTCCCCCCTCACACCAGCCCATAGGCGAGTCTCCCCCTCACACCAGCCCATAGGCGAGTCTCCCCCTCACACCAGCCCATAGGTGAGTCCCCCCCTCACACCAGGCCATAGGCGAGTCTCCCCCTCACACCAGGCCATAGGCGAGTCTCCCCCTCACACCAGCCCATAGGTGAGTCTCCCCCTCACACCAGCCCATAGGCGAGTCTCCCCCTCACACCAGGCCATAGGCGAGTCTCCCCCTCACACCAGCCCATAGGCGAGTCTCCCCCTCACACCAGCCCATAGGCGAGTCTCCCCCTCACACCAGCCCATAGGTGAGTCTCCCCCTCACACCAGCCCATAGGCGAGTCTCCCCTCACACCAGCCCATAGGTGAGTCCCCTCCCCCACCAGCCAACAGGTGAGTCCCCTCCCCCACCAGCCCATAGGTGAGTCTCCCCTCACACCAGGCCATAGGCGAGTCTCCCCCTCACACCAGCCCATAGGCGAGTCCCCCCTCACACCAGCCCATAGGCGAGTCTCCCCCTCACACCAGGCCATAGGTGAGTCTCCCCCTCACACCAGCCCATAGGTGAGTCCCCCCTCACACCAGCCCATAGGTGAGTCCCCCCTCACACCAGCCCATAGGCGAGTCTCCCCCTCACACCAGACCATAGGTGAGTCCCCCCTCACACCAGCCCATAGGCGAGTCCCCTCTCCCACCAGCCCATAGGTGAGTCCCCTCCCCCACCAGCCAACAGGTGAGTCCCCTCCCCCACCAGCCAACAGGTGACTCCCACCTATGTTGTTATAATCTTAAACTTTTATCTAACATTAAAAAAGGCAACAAGAATGAGTCATATAAAGAAGACAGTATTCCACACAAGTGTTCCTGTGTTTATATATCTTGAACACACACATTTAATGTTTGTTTTATATTGAAGAGAGACGACTGGTTAACTGACAAACGATAGGCCTAAGTATGGCCTATGCTTAGGTCACTCTGTGACATTAAATTAGTGACAATAATTCATTATTATCTCTAATTTAATGTCAGGGATATTGTGACGTGATCAAGCTTAGGCCTACAGCCAAGCTTTAATTGCTTTCCTGATTTCCTTAAAATTTACTGTTAGATTATTATTGGTATTAATAGTCTTCAAGGATAACCTAGTCCTTATCAAAGATAACTCTCTAATGCTTCAGAGCACAAAGGTTACATCAGTATTTCAAAGTCACAGGGAGTCCGCCTCTACCAGCCAGATTATCCGCCATTTAGACCACTCGGTCGTCGACTCTCGCACGCTTGCATCAGCCGTAGAGCTGCTTGTCCATAGAGCTCATAGTTTTAGGATAATGTTAACTCTTGCGTGGTTCCCAACAGAGGAGATCCAGGAGTACTTTGGCTCCAAGATCGCCATCTACTTCGCGTGGCTGGGACACTACACCACCGCCCTCACTATCCCTGCCGTCATCGGCCTCATCTTCTGGGTAAGACGCAACCACGCACGCGCACGCACGCGCGCATAGCAAAACAAAAGAGGTGAATCTTAACTCCCTAATCCACAGCTAGGGAGGAGTGAGGTAAGTCCCCTCACGTCACTACAGGTGTTGTGAGGGTAAGATTGGAGGCGGGATTCACCTCCAAAGAGGGGAATCTTAACTTCCTAATCCACAGCTAGTTAAGTACATATACACAAAATTATAAGCTGGTAGCCCTAATAATAGTCAGTTATTGGCCAAAATTTCAGATACAACTGTTGTAAACAAATCCACAAGGGCCGTGACGAGGATTCGAACCTGCGTCCGAGAGCATCCCAGACGCTGCCTTAATCGACTGAGCTACGACATGGTCAAAAAAAGAGTTGAAACCGAAGTTCTACTGAGCTTACTGGATCCTGCAGCCTCTCCGAGACACAAACCAGGGTTTTACACAACTCCCCCCCTGCACTCGAGCTATGTCAATAGGCAATTGTTCATTTGATTCATCACGCTATTGTGATTTTTGTGTGTTACAACTGTTGTTTATTAAATTGTAAGCCCTGGTACCAATATCGTGCACAGGCTCTTATCACAACCCGTCCTCTTAAAAATAACGTCACTTTTGGCTGGTATGCGCACTATGGCTAAATTTGGACGTAATTTGAAATGAAATCGACTCACAAAAGTGACGTTCTGTTCCGTTTTCTATTTGAGTCGTCCGGCGTACGCGCAGAGGTTATAAGAGGACACTTTAAATTATCGTTTTTCATAACGTTTTGAAACTTTATGAGAATTTGCTGCCCACCTAACCTATCAGAGGACCCTTAACTTACTGTTGTTGATAAAAAATCCCATATTTATTTTCATTTTTTTCATTTTCAAATTACGTCCAAATTCGGCCATACGGGCAAACGGCCAAAATCGACGTTCTTTTTAAGAGGACAGGTTGCTTATCATGGGCTTGAATATATCAACACTTGTACATGATCAGCATGCGAAGCTTTTCAAGATCTGGCAGTCCAGTCTACTGGTTATCCTTTTTTAAAGCAAAGAATCAATTATCGGGAAGCAGGGAGGAGGAGAGCCGAGACATCTCGGTAGGCTGCCGTGATAACCAAGAAGTGTACCTGTAATATAGTTTGTGTAGTGTCCTGGTATCTGCAGATTTTGCACTTTGTGTCTTTAAATAATCAGCTGCAGTAAGCTTTTTGCATGACCCAATTTTTCTAGAATTCGTTTTCAAATACGGCAGAACATGTTCAAGAGAATCACTTGTTGAAGTGTCATGTGGATGTCTTAAGAACATAAGAACATAAGAATAAAGGTAACTGCAGAAGGCCTATTGGCCCATACGAGGCAGCTCCTATCTATAACCACCCAATCCCACTCATATACATGTCCAACCCACGCTTGAAACAATAGAGGGGCCCCACCTCCACCACGTCACGCGGTAATTGGTTCTACCAGTCTTAAGCACGCATCGACTTGAGAATGGTCCAGGACGGACCGAAACGTCGTCGTCCCTTCACTTTCTAGTGTGTGGTCTGGTCAACACACTCGCCTGGCTGTGCTCCGGTAGTTCCTCTAGAGTACAACAAATGGTATGGATAATATACAAGTTATTCACCGCACCCTTGAAACGTGCGTACAGCGGCAGGCAAGCACTCCTAATCACTGTGTACACGAACGTACACACGAATTCTAAGTTCATTCGGTTGCTTTTTAGATTTAGCTACTCAGAACAAAATGTCCATGTAGCACGGGCTATGGTGAGCCCGTAAGTTCACTCGGTACAGTTCAGCATATAAATACATAATATAATGTAGTACCTCACCTATTAATGTTGTAGAGCATGATTACATCCCGCACGGTCTTCACTGTAAGTGTAGACACTGCAAGCTTTCTCCAAGTTATACGGTGAAGATGGCTTGGAATGGAATTTACTCACTCTCTTGCAAGAATTATTTCTTGTGACATATATACGGCCATCACACAAACAGACTTTCTTCAAACTGTGCATCTTTCATCTTACCCAGCCTCCTCCTCCTCCTCCTCCTCACTCCTCTCAGCCCAGTTACTCGCTTTCTTGAGTTTCATGATCAAAGTATTCAGGGTTTGAATCTTCCAGCAAAGCATTCATTTTACGAGGAGTCAAGATTTTCCTTAAGAAAGTGAGGGGCCTCGTCAACGGGGTAAGGCTAAATCGCACACAGGTATTTAGACAATGCGCCTCTTCTCTTTAAATCAATCCCGTATATATATCGTTAAGTTGGAATGAGATTAGACTGTGTCTGGTTCGATTAGGGGTAAGGTTAGAAAAGTTTCCAAATCCGTTGGAAAACCGTCTTTGGTATAATGTGACTATTTGCTATTTGATTAAAGAGCCACAACAACAGTAGTGCTGGGAGTGCCCCGGCGTTCACTTAGAAAGTAAAATGCCAAGCCTTGCGACTATATTAACGTCGCCTGTCGACGGATACACACAGGTAGGGAGGTGCTTGGGTAGCCCCTGGAGTCCCTCGGGGAGGCAGGCGAAGGCCCCCTCCCAACCCCACACACACAGAGCACCTGGTAGTCAAACAGTCGAGACAGAAACGCGATGCCACCTCCTAAATTTATACCCAATTTGGCAAAAACACTAAAACGTGTTCCAGTGACTATCGGCAGAGCAGGAGCTAGCCACTCACCATGCCCCGAGGGCACAACAGGAGCTCGCCAAGCAACCTGCCCTCAGGGAGGAAATCCGCCCATGGGAATGGATTGAGAACGACTACATAATTCGTGTCATTATCTACTCTCTATACATGATTAGGTTAGGGTAAGGTTACTTTATGTTAAGGTTTGGTTATGTTAGGTTTCATTACATTTGGTTACATTAATGCGGTATATTATTAACCATAACGTGAAATATGGAATTCGAGAACTGTTTGAGTGTCAAATTACATTTACAGAAAACCAAATTCTTCAAAGAAAACGTTTTCAGCATACACTTTTTATATTCTAAACCAACGATTTGTAATACAATAAAGTAATACATGAGAATAATCCTTTTTTAAGACAAAGTTTCACTTGCCAGTTTACATGTAGACTATTACAGGAACTGTAATATGCTTTTAGACCTCACATATATCTAGATAACTATCTAGGTAGTTTCAGAGGGGGTGGTTATTTAAATATACAAGCGTTCTTACATTCTTGAAAAGCCACTATAGTACGCATAGCGTTTCGGGCCGGTCCTTAATCATAATTTTCCCCTGGAATACGACCCGCCAAATCCGTTACCAATCAGGTGAAACCAATTTAAGGATAGATGCCTAGTCAATCCTTCCCGGCCAGGATAGGAACCCAAGCCAAATCGTTCGCTAAGCACGGGGCGAGTGTTACCACTGCACCACGGGAACTGAACGGTAATGCTCCACCAAGACCTGCCAACTCTGCCAAGTCGACGCCGGCAGTCTCTCCGCCCGAAGAACCAACTAGAAAACGGAAAAATCTATAAATTTTCTCGTGACCATAGATGATAAGTTTTTAAATTAGTTAAATTAATTTTTTTATTCAGAAAAAGTATATACATAGTTGATTTACAAACATAATGTTGGATTTATAGATAGAGCTAGGACATACAATACCTAAAGCCACTAATACGCATAGCGTTATGGGCAAAACTTCACTTTCGTCACTTTACAGCAAAACTTCGGAACACTAAAGTGTCCCAGGCGTTGTAACAATCCTGGTCATTGAATAGGAATATATGACGGCATTATCATCACCCATTGGTAAAATCGCGTCACGTGTTCTGATCGTTCCCAGGCAGAGGTGTCCAGACCTCTGATCGTCATCAAGGTTTAGGTTGTAGCGAGTAACTTGTATACCTTGTCAACGGCAAGCTCACATTCTTACCCTGGAATATCTTGATTAATACTGCACATTTCGGGCTTTTACGATCAATTATGACCTTATGTACACTATCCACAAATAATTTCATCCCAAAATGTTACGTCAGAGCAAGAAAAAACACTTTGTATCACAGACCGAAGACGATAGCGTCATGGGTTGTTGTGATCGGTTACGGCCCGAGATAATCCCGGGCGGGTCCCCTCACACCAACATGGCTGCCACAAGTTACTCCCAGACACTGTCCACTTATTTTAAGAAAAATTCAGTCTAAAACATTTTATTCAGGAAATGGTACAGTAAGTCCTTTAATTACCAAAGAAAAATAATGCATTTGCGATACGCGATTAATAAACAGGTATGTTTAACATAATTAACATCTCTAGGACTGACAAAGCCTAATGATTAGCCTGTATGAGGCAGACTATTCCCCACACCCGAGAAAAATCAATTTTAATGCAATTTAAATTTACTTAAAGAGTGTTACGCAGTATTACTACTTGGCCCTGGCACTGTTGCTAGTGTGATTTGTTGCGTTATAAGGCGTGTGTGTGTGTGTGTGAGGACGGGCCGGTGTTTGCCCAACTGCTACTCTTACCAGCGTAATTTTCCACTGTTTAGAAGCAAACCATAGGAACGTTTGTTAATACATGTTAAGTTTACTTATTGTTATGGTTGCCCCGTGTCATTTGTTTTAGGGTAGTATTGTAGTTTTTGCAGGACTGACGTCTTCAACTGTTTCCTTTTACCTCTGTTCCCGCATGGTTTTTTAACAGGAAAACAGTGTACTTATATTTATTTCATATTCTAGTCAAGGTTTAGGGTGTTCAATTAGGATTCTAATTGAATAGAATTCAATTAGAACCTGGTGAGACGGACCGTTGCTCTCTACTACTATCAGCGTACAGTATTTAAGGAGTCAACAAACAATAGTGAGATTTACGGGCTATTCATGCCCGTGCCACCTCTTGGGTGGCTTAATCTTTATCAATCATCAGTCAATCAATAGTGAAATTACTGGCTATCACCGCTCTCTTAATGGAACACATTACAAGTGGACGATTAAGATCGTCGCAGATACAACGCTCTTTGGTGCATGTGACAGCCTCGCCTTGTCAAGAAATGCCCGACACACCACTGGAACATTATCTAACACAGTGCACAGTTACAAACCCAATAAGATTTCAACTTAGATTCAACAGAGCAGAAGAAGTTGTTAAACACATGGGATAAAATCTTACTGAAGCGACCATACAAGTCATAAATACTCATACTCCGCCCAAGTAAAACAGAAACAAGCAACACTTGTTGCTTGTTTCAGTGGCTTAGGGCCACTTGTCGCAGCCAGTGGCCCTAAGCCACTGGCTGCGTGGGCCAGCCAGTGGCTTAGGGCCCGTGCAGTGGGCCAGCCAGAGGCTTAGGGCCCGCGCAGTGGGCCAGCCAGTGGCTTAGGGCCCGTGCAGTGGGCCAGCCAGAGGCTTAGGGCCCGCGCAGTGGGCCAGCCAGTGGCTTAGGGCCCGCGCAGTGGGCCAGCCAGTGGCTTAGGGCCCGCGCAGTGGGCCAGCCAGTGGCTTAGGGCCCGCACAGTGGGCCAGCCAGAGGCTTAGGGCCCGCACAGTGGGCCAGCCAGAGGCTTAGGGCCCGCGCAGTGGGCCAGCCAGAGGCTTAGGGCCCGCACAGTGGGCCAGCCAGTGGCTTAGGGCCCGCACAGTGGGCCAGCCAGTGGCTTAGGGCCCGCACAGTGGGCCAGCCAGAGGCTTAGGGCCCGCACAGTGGGCCAGCCAGAGGCTTAGGGCCCACGCAGGAATATCCCTGAATAAAAACACAATATTAATCAACCTGAAATTTATATATTAGATTGGGGCAACAATAAAAATTTGTTCATTTAATTAACCTCTAGCTCGTGATTAAACTGTATTGCACCAATTTATTTATAAAAGAAAATGCTATCGACTGTGCAAATTATAATTATGTCATTTTCTAATGAATATTGTTTTATCGAGGTCACATAATTTCCGATTCAGAATTCCCAGGCTACAGGATGGGTTATATGTTACATATTTACCTTGAAGGTTAGGCTTAATATTATGCATGAATGTAATCAATGGCCATATGTATTAAAGTGTGTGACATTAATCGTCGTCCTATAAAGATTATATATATATATATATATATATATATATATATATATACAAATTGATCAGCGCTACAAAAGACCAGAGAGCAAAAAGTTTCTTGTTCCAGCGCCTCAGTGTTGCGATTCAGAGGGGAAATGCCTGTTGCGTCTTGGGCACTAGTCCAACTTCAGAGGAATTCGAAGAAGTGTTTGACTTGCAACAATGATCGAACCCGTCTGTGACATTCATCAATGTTTCCCATTGTTGTGTTCTTCAAGAGATCCATAACCTTTAAGCACCTTTTTGCATTATTATTTTTGTATCAACCCATGTATATCTTGTAACCATCAAATGCATAATAAAGCACAAAAAATATTCAAGGAAGGGGGTGGTAGGAGAAAAGAACACAGAAACTGTATTGGAGGGGATCTAAACATTCCCTCTAATGCGTTATGCGTGGTTTCCTCCGAGGCTATGGGTCCCCCTTCTTCCAGCTAGAGGTGGTACTCCCTTCCTAATTAAAAAAAAAAAAAAAAAAAAAAAAAAAAAAAAAAAAAAAAAAAAAAAAAAAAAAAAAAAAAAAAAAAAAAAAAAAAAAAAATATATATATATATATATATATATATATATATATATATATATATATATATGTGTATATATATATATATATATATATATATATATGTGTGTGTATATCACGAAAATAAACACGTGATTAAGAATGTGACAATGTCAGACCACGGAGGAAAAATGAAACAGGAAATTTCCTTAAGTACTTTCGTATATTAAATACATCTTCAGAAGGACCTTCTGAAGATGTATTTAATATACGAAAGTACTTAAGGAAATTTCCTGTTTCATTTTTCCTCCGTGGTCTGACATTGTCATATATATATATATATATATGAGTGCTAGACCACGAAGGAAGAATTGAAACAGACAAAATTAATTAATCCAGTATACATTCTCTTATACCTCTCATTTCGTAGAATTTATATCAAATTCCACTGTGCCCCGCGTGTTGTCCCCGAGGCGGCAAGTTTATGCAGGATAATATAAGGAAATATCTCTCTGAGCACAGCAGCATCCATCAGTGCCGGAAACGGTGCCACAATACCGTGGGAGGCCACAGGAAGCATCCATCACTGTGATGTATGTCAGCTGAGTGCCACGCTGACGTCACTACACGCGCCCCCCCCCCCCCACACCCTCAATTCCTCAGGAGTAATGAATTTGTGGAAGCGTAGTATTACCATTCATAAATCTTGCCACAACTGCTGACGACTAGTCATGGGGATGATTGATCAACTCTGACTTCCAAAACAAATCTGTTAAAATGCAACACATGACAGTAGGGGGTTATTCTTTTTCTTTTATATACGACTCTATCACTATTCCATAAAGTTGAAACTCTGCCCCTATGACAGATTGTGACAATTTCACGAAGCCAGTTCGGATATTTTCACCCTTAAAGTAACTAATGATCAAAATAAAGTGCTCCAAACCTTGACGACTTACGTGGCACTTTCACCCCAAAAGTGCAAATTGTAATCGATATCCTGACCGTTACAGGTGTTCCTGTGGGGGCGGGACCAGGCGCTGGAGGACAAGGGGTTCGTGCTCTTCGCCTTCCTGAACGTGGTGTGGGCGTCCATGTGGCTGGAGGGGTGGAAGAGGCACAGCGCCGTCCTGGCCTACAACTGGGGCACTCTGGACTCTCACGTGGAGGTCTTCTCGGAGCCCAGGCCGCACTTCAGGGTGAGTGATCTGTGTCGCCGCCTCCTGCTGCTGCTGCTGCTGCTGCTGTACACACTCATGCTGTTGGTCTCGTGTTTTGGCTGGGAAGCTCACAGCTACCACAGCCCTACCACAGCTCCACACACTGAACACCACACAGCTTTTGTTACAACACCCCAGAGTAAACAAATTTACCTCAACACCCCAGAGTAAACGAACTTATCACAGCACCCCAGAGTAAACAAACTTACCACAGCACCCCAGAGTAAACGAACTTATCACAGCACCCCAGAGTAAACAAACTTACCACAGCACCCCAGAGTAAACAAACTTATCACAGCATCCCAGAGTAAACAAACTTATCACAGCACCCCAGAGTAAACAAACTTACCACAGCACCCTTGAGTAAACAAACTTATCACAGCACCCCAGAGTAAACAAATTTTATCACAGCACCCCAGAGTAAACAAACTTATCACAGCACCCCAGAGTAAACAAACTTACCACAGCACCCCAGAGTAAACAAACTTACCACAGCACCCTTGAGTAAACAAACTTATCACAGCACCCCAGAGTAAACAAACTTACCACAGCACCCTTGAGTAAACAAACTTATCACAGCACCCCAGAGTAAACAAATTTTATCACAGCACCCCAGAGTAAACAAATTTTATCACAGCACCCCAGAGTAAACAAACTTACCACAGCACCCCAGAGTAAACAAACTTACCACAGCACCCTTGAGTAAACAAACTTATCACAGCACCCCAGAGTAAACAAATTTTATCACAGCACCCCAGAGTAAACAAACTTATCACAGCACCCCAGAGTAAACAAACTTACCACAGCACCCCAGAGTAAACAAACTTACCACAGCACCCTTGAGTAAACAAACTTATCACAGCACCCCAGAGTAAACAAACTTACCACAGCACCCTTGAGTAAACAAACTTATCACAGCACCCCAGAGTAAACAAATTTTATCACAGCACCCCAGAGTAAACAAATTTTATCACAGCACCCCAGAGTAAACAAACTTACCACAGCACCCCAGAGTAAACAAACTTACCACAGCAACATAGTAAACAAAGTTCTATCACAGTACCACAGACTAATACAAAATTTATCCCAGTTCCAGGGCTCAATAAGAAGCTTTAGCGTCTTATTAAGTTCAAACTATCGTTTCCTTCTTAGTACATAAATACCTTAAACACATGCCCATATGATGGCATTATTAATGACCTGTGGAAACCTGCCCTTCGTACGGACACTCACTACGGGTAGCTACGACACTCTTGATAACTTCACGGCAGGTTCGACGCGGTGAGGAAGTGGCAACAAATATGTTGCAATCTTGTCACAGTGACGTGTAAGGTATTCTTCGCTGTTCCCGAAACGATGCAAGAGTAAGACGTGGTAGCTATGTATGGGGGTGGGGAAGGTTGGGGGGGGGTCAGTGGGTGCCTCAGGGACGTGGCTGGCACCGCTGGGTGCCTCAGGGACGTGGCTGGCACCGCTGGGTACCTCAGGGACGTGGCTGGCACCGCTGGGTGCCTCAGGGACGTGACTGGCACCGCTGGGTGCCTCAGTGACGTGGCTGGCACCGCTGGGTGCCTCAGTGACGTGGCTGGCACCGCTGGGTGCCTCAGGGACGTGGCTGGCACCACTGGGTGCCTCAGTGACGTGGCTGGCACCGCTGGGTGCCTCAGTGACGTGGCTGGCACCGCTGGGTGCCTCAGTGACGTGGCTGGCACCAATGGGTGCCTCAGGGACGTGGCTGGCACCACTGGGTGCCTCAGGGACGTGGCTGGCACCGCTGGGTGCCTCAGTGACGTGGCTGGCACCACTGGGTGCCTCAGGGACGTGGCTGGCACCGCTGGGTGCCTCAGGGACGTGGCTGGCACCGCTGGGTGCCTCAGGGACGTGGCTGGCACCAATGGGTGCCTCAGTGCATTACCGCTCTAGGCTCGGGCGTGAATATCAATGAATGCAGTATGCAAATATTAGATTGTACCAATCAGTTGCATGATCATTACAATTTTCCCAATAGTGACACGCATGAAAATAATTTATGAAGTGATCTCTCGGGCTTTACATTTAATTGTTGTGCTCGATGGACTTATATCAGTGTGGAGGGTAGTTGTTGCAGCAGAGTCTGCCCATGGACCAGGGGTCAGGTTCACGAAGCAGTTACGCAAGCACTTACGAACCTGTACATCTTTTCTCAATCTTTGGCGGCTTTGTTTACAATTATTAAACAGTTAATGAGCTCCGAAACACAGGGAGGTTGTTTATAATACTAACAACAGTTGATTGGCAAGTTTTCATGCTTGTAAACTGTTTAATAAATGTAACCAAAGGCGTCAAAGATTGCGATAAGATGTACACGTTCGTAAGTACTTGGGTAACTGCTTCGTGAATCTGATCCTTTGGGGCTCAGGTTTCATTAGGCACTTGTGAGTCAGCTTACGAGATCTGTCCGTAGTACCCCGATGATGGCGCCTTAAGCACGTATTCATTAAATAGCTTTCGGTATCTTAAGTGCTGCGAGGTCGTTCTCAACACAAGGGTATTATTGTAATCCGTCTTCAGGCTGCGCCCGACCCCAAAGACATATAAATATATTTTAACGTAAAGTGTAATCAAATTGTGCATTTTCTTAAATATCAATTAACATTATGAAAGAATGTAGTTGGGTGTAGATTAGGTTAAGTGTCGAAGTTCTTTTGGCGATTCTTAGTATTTACAGTACGTGAATGAAGCATTTATAGGAAGACAGCTAAGCATAATTCCAGAAATGTTCGAAAGTTATCAGTTTTGACTCGTGTGTGCAGCGGCCCATCCTTAAACAAAAGTCAAATGTCCATTCCATGCAGCCACAAACCCCCTGTTTACGAATGAAAAACGGTTTACACGCGCCTCACAACTGTTGACGTTCGAACACTTCCGGAACAAGTGCTTCACTGACGAATTTTGTTCGAACCACAACGCAGTAAATGCTTCACCCACGTACTACAAATACAAATAATCGCCAACAGAACCTAAACACCTAACCTAACCTATGCCTATATATGCACAATATGCTAATATTTTATAATATTAATTTATATTTGAGAAAATTCCTGTTTTGAATGAACAACATATTAAAATTTATGAATGTGTCTGTGTGGTCGACCCGTCCTCAACCACACTTACTGCAAACGCAAATAATTGCCATTAGAACCTACACACCAAACCTAACCTAGCCAACGTCTAACTATACATAGAATTATAATGCGAACAAGCCTGAATGGTCCCCAGGCATATATGCAACTGAATTATAATATATAATAATGTTAATTTATGAGAAAAGGGGACGATTTTGAAGACACAGTCGCCATGATAGAGGTTAAGCGGTACATATCTCGTAGGTGAACAGTAAGTGCTTAATGAATTTCTAACAATACCTAGTTTACATCAGCATTTTCTTTGTCAAACTAAACATTGAACAAATCTACAAGGGCCGTGACGAGGATTCGAACCTGCATCCGAGAGCATCCTAGACACTGCCTTAATCGATGATGTTCATTTGATGCATCACTCAATTGTGATTTGTGTGTGTAAACTAAACATTCATTGTTCCTTACTGTAACAATGACGAAATGAAAAGATATCTCTATCATCTGAAACTTTTGGTCTGACGTACAGCTGTGGTCTTTAGGACATAGGCTTCGCAACACTTCAAAGACATGGCTAGTTTCACGGTGCTATATAGTCCCCAGCGGCAATCACTGCAGTTACAAACTTTTCCTTCAAGTAATACTCAAAACCTATTACCAACTCTAGCTAGACATCAACATAAGGTTGTGTGTCTTTTTGTTCAAGGCTGAAGGCAGTAGTGTAAAGTACGCCTACGACCATGCGCAGCACCTGAGGTGCTGCGCACGGTCGTAGGCGTCCTTTACACTACTGAAGGCCAGACACTGGGGGCAGGCTTCACTGGACGTTTCAAGGTGACTCTTGGCTGGTATGCGACTGTCTTAGGCTTGTCAGGGTCGGCCACTTACAAACATTTAAGAAATCTCGGCTTCTAAGGTGAGACTCGGCGATTCTGAGGAAGACTGAAATCAGGGACTTGTGTTACCATATTGATTTTGAGCAGTTTTTCATCTTTTCGTAATATTATACTTTACGAGAGAGAGAGAGAGAGAGAGAGAGAGAGAGATAAGGGGGGGGGGAAGAGAGAGAGAGCCCATGACACAAGGCTCTCAGCCATCAATAGATTCATACTGGAACTGCCTTTTCTCAAGAATATCACTTCATTAGCGATCATTCATTCCTGGACTGACAGGCATCTGGAACGTGTTCGCTCAACATGTTGATACACGGGAGAAGTCACATGTGAAGGCTTTGGCAAACATTTGGCGCCTGGCTTATCCTGTTCCTTATATGATTGTTATTTACATTTAAATAAAGATCATTCCATATTTAAAAAATCTGGGAAAGCTTAAGATCAGCAGAGGTAGGATAATAACTCTTATTTGTAGTTTCACCAGATACCTGTTCCTTATAAGTTAATTAATTCAGTTTCACATAATCTCATGAAATAAATGAGTCCCTTAGGGCAGGCTTCAGATGAACTAAGATAGGATAACAGCCCTTATAGTTTCACTAGGTACTTCACTTGACAGCCCTAATGATCCACAGTTTTAGTTAAAAATAAAAAAGGGGAGAGAGGAATTTGTAGTACGTGGGTGAAGCACATAGAGTTGTGATTCAAATAGTGGTCGTCAGCGAAGCAGTGTTCGAGAAATGTTCGAACATCCTCTGTCGTGAGTCGTGTATAAAGCGTTTTTTATTCCTAAACGGGGGTTGGGGGTTGTGGTTGGCGGCTGCATAGAATAGACACTTGGTTGTTGTTGATGAGGCCGACCCGGGTCACTGGGCCCCACTGTAAATTAGGCACATGAGCCGGACACTAATATCTAGTACTGACGTGTTTACTAATGAATTTGAAATACATATTATCTTAACTAATAATG